ATCAGGTAGAGCAGGGACTCCTCCATTTCAGCTGAGTTCCATAACCACTGGGCTATTGGTTCTTCTGGGATGGTCTCTCTCTTTCTGTTTTTTGACTCAAAAATCCATCCTGAACCTGAGTAACTTTTCTTAACGAAGTTTTGTCAAACTCGATACATTGCTGCAAAAAGTTTAGCTTTAGACGAATTGACATTTTTTTGACAAAAAATTCCCAACGAGTTCTAGTACTGAATTGATTTTACTTCAAATTGTCAGATGATGGACAGAGGATTTTTTTCTGTCCATTTCTCCTCATTGATAATGTGGGATGTTGCATATTCCGTGTTTTATTACAGCAAACTGTTTCCTAAGGGATAGTCTTGTAAGGGAGCCCTCTTTACTTCCAGTCTGTTGGAAGTAGGATTCCTCCCTCAGTCCTGTGCTTGACCAATTTACAGAGACCAGCCTCTGGTTAAAGCTATGCCCACTCTGTCAATCAGAATGAAATTTCTTTTTTCTGTTGGGTCCAGGGCCGCCAAGAGTGGGTTCGGGCCCTGGTGAAATTTTTTTTTCGGCCCCCCCCCCAGCAAGGGCGGACCGGCTAAACAGGGCCGACAAGGGGGGGGGGAGCCGGGCCCCGGGTCCCCTTCCGGACCGCTGGGCCCTGGTAATTTGTACTGGCTCCCCCAGTTAAGTCATAACATGAAAAGTGTGTGTATTTTTTATATATATATATAAAATACATGTGTGTTTTATATATATATATAAATAAAATAAAATGTGTGTATAAATTATATATACAATTATATATACAAATTACACACAAATGTATGTGTGTATAAATTATATATATATAATTTATACACACATACATTTGTGTGTAATTTGTATGTGTAAAACTGTGTGTGTGTATAAAAATATGCATGCAATGCCTGGAATCTCATAACTAGACAAATTTCAGACTAGAAATAAGCTACATATTTTTAACAGTGAGGGTAATTAACCATTGGAACAATTTACCCAGGGATGGGATGAATTCACTGTCACTTGAAGTCTTAACATCAAGATTCTATGTCTTTTTCTAAAAGATCTGCAGTAGCTCTATGAGAAATAAGAGGGTTGATGGAGGAATCACCTCATGACATTCTATGGCTTGTGTTATGGAGGAGGTCAGACTAAATGATCATAATGGTCTTGTGACTTTTGGCCTTAAAATCTATAAATATGTGAATTGTATATATAAAAAGATATCGATAAGGAGGCACCCTAGCAGCTCCATAGTTAATTTTACATTGGCTCTTACAACTAAAGCAGGGTTTAAATTCATGGGATTTATATGCACATACATTTCATTACCAAAACTGGACCATTTTGAAGAGAAGGTCCAACCCAAATTCTCTCTCAAACTTCCACTGGATTCAGCAATACTACTTATCTTCTAAGCACTTAAAAAAAATCACCCTGTTTTTAAAATTTGTACTTAGGGTCTGTATTTTTGGGGGAACCCCTGTCACTTGTGTTAATACTCTTACACTGAACTTCTCATATTAGTGAACCTTCAACAAAATACCCATGCAGCGTACTTTAAAAAAGAAGCCAGCAAACCAAAAGGGTGTAATTCCCTTTACTTGTCATGTCTTCCTTTTCCACCAAGGAAACTGATGGCGAATATGTCTCCACTATATATTTCCAGGCATGGAAAGGATAAGGTGATGCCTGTGAAAACTTGATCCTGGTAGCTCATTGTGGGCTGCAAGTAGCACAGGGAACTTGGGAGCAGTTCAGTGCTTCAAGAGAAGTAGACAAGGAAAGATAGGAGAGTCGTACCCTATGGGTACGTCTACACTACCCGCCGGATCGGCGGGTAGTGATCGATCTATCAGGGATCGATTTATTGCGTCTAGTGTAGACGCGATAAAATCGATCCCCGATCACTCTGCCGTTGACTCCGGAACTCCACCGCGGCGAGAAGCGGAAGCAGAGTCGACGGGGGAGCAGCAGCGGTCGACTTGCCGCTGTCCTCACGGCCAGGTAAATCGACCTAAGATACGCCGACTTCAGCTACGCAAATAGCGTAGCTGAAGTTGCATATCTTAGGTCGACACCGCCCCTCCCCCCCCCCAGTGTAGACCTAGCCATAGTACTGTGAACTCTACCAGGCATAATGTCTCCCTGCATTCCAAAGTCCAGGATTAGGCAAGGCTACAGGGCCTTCATCCCTCCTTAATCCTTCAGGAATCTTTTTGTAAAATAACATTGACTTTCCAAAGAGGGAAGTTCAGGGGCTCTGGTCCTTTCCTCTTCCTCCAGCCTAGCTTTCCTTGCTGTTCCTCATCTGCTGTGCAGATGGGGATGTTTCTCCAGTTCCCTGGGAATAACTACCATTGGAGGAGCTCCCATTATTTCCCTACCAATCCTCTTCTAAGGGCAGCAGCCAGCGTGAGTTTTTGTTCTCAGTGCAGTCAGTGCTGCTCTGACCTTGCTGATGATATCGTTAGCAACTGACAGCAGTGAGGAGAGCTTCTCCCTGTAAAAGAGGATGGACCCTTGGGAGCCCCTGAATAGACTGACCTAACTTTCCTCTTCTTAAAGCCAAGGAAGATTGGCTTGTTCCTCTTCACAGCTCTAAACAGGGAGCATCCACCAGAAAGCCTTTCCAGGAGGATTTTCTCTGTAGTTTTTTGGGCCGCCCTTCCTATTTTTTCCTTTTCAAAGCTTTTACCAGCCTGGGAGCTGGTTGCACTAGCTTGTCGGTACAAACATGACAGATTGGATTTCAAATTGTGTTCTACTGTACTTCACCATTTTCCTTCCCTCTTTATGCTAAAAGCTTACTGAACAGCCTTTTCTCAACACATGACCTTCCAGTGTGAATATACAGCACTCACTGTGCCCAATATAGCTGCCCAGGCATTTCTTTTTGTGGACCCCTTTGTGGAAGTGACGTACCTCTGCACTTTGTAGAAGGGAGCGACATGTGTTACAGGCTAACTTTCCTAATATCACAACCCCCATTTATGAAATGTAAAAATCTATTGGGCCCAATTCTGCTCTGGCTACTTTGTTCTGCAAAGTAGCCCCAAAGCTGGCTTATCTGCCTGTGTGAGGATTCCACTTGTATATGCGGGGTACCTGGGTGGCACAGATTTGGCATATGTCCCTAGGCCACAACACCCCCTACTACCAGTGGTGGCTCCAGGCACCAGGGCTTCAAGCACGTGCCTGGGGCGGCAAGCCGTGGGGGGCGCCCTGCCAGTCCCTGTGAGGGCGGCAGTCAGGCTGCCTTCGGTGGCTTGCCTGCAGGAGGTCCACCGGTGTCGCGGATTCGGCAGCGGGTCGCCGAAGCTGCGGGACCGGGGACCTCCCGCAGGCAAGCCGCTGAAGGCAGCCTGCCTGCCGTGCTTGGGGCGGCAAAAAAGCTAGAGCCACCCCGCCTACTACCTCAGGCATAGTGACGTTCCTGAGGGGAAAGGGTGCAATCTCCAGGTGCTGAAAGACTCTTGGGTCAATGGGCAGATGACCATAAATTAGGACAAACTTGAGGCTTCTGTAAATTGGTCCCTGGGCTGGACCAAGCCCAGTATTGAGAAGCATGGAAAAATGGCCTTTGCTTCCACACCTTTGGAGTGAGTTGTGCAGGCCATCCCAACAGACCACCAGTAAATCCTTGATAACCTCTGCACTAGCCTGTATTGCATTTATTTACAGAAATGTATTATGAGGGTTTTTTAAAGAAAAAAATAGTACTTTTTTAATCCCTCTGCCTATAAAGCCTTTAAATCCCTCTGCCTTAGTTACTACAAGTCCAGTTGTACAGGGTTCAGAGGGAAAGAAGAATTGCAACTAATTTAAAACTCCTCCAAAGTGATCTAAAAATGGCTTTTTATTTAAAGAAAAATCAGTTTTGCAGTTTAGTTTCTTGGGACTTTCTAGGACTAGTGGCATGTGCTCTGTGTCCCATTGGAAAACTGGGAATTTTCTTTTTCTAATGGAGATGGGGGGAAGGCTCCCATTTCTAGCCCTGCAGGTTGTGAGACATCAGACCTTATACATGTCATTGAGTAGGACTAAATATTGGACTAATGTAATTTTGGTGGTAATGAAGGAAGGATACATTTGGCTAGGAGAGAAGGAATGAGACTTCTCTAGCACATTGTTTGTTTAGGTTTTTTAAATGGCAGCTCTTTGTAGCTGTGCAGGGATTTGGAATGTTGGAAGTTGTTCTGGCCGAGATAGATTAGTGGGTAGAATGTAAGTGAGGTGGCCAGAAATCACATGATAAATGTAGCTGACTGTATGGTTTAGCAATTTATAACACTGCTATCACTCCTATGTATGTGCGTTGAAGAGAGAAAATTCCATGCATCAAGAAGATCAAGGGTTTGATCTTGCAAGGTGCTGAGTACCTTCCATCTCCATATAATTTCAATGAGGGTTGAGGGTGTTTAGATCAGACCACAATGAAGCTGTCTAACCAAGTTAGCGTGCTTCATATTAGCAGCTGTCAAGCTATTCTCCACAGATTTGTCTCCAGATCCAGGTGCAATCTAGATGGTTAGTCAGGGAAGGTTGGTCTGGGTTGTTTTTATCTTTCTGTGGAGAATATGAGTTCCAAAGAAAGGTATTGTGTCCTGCAGTTCCTGTGGATCAACAGTGATGTAACATGAGAGAAATAACACCCCAATACAGGATGCTGTTTCGAAAACTCCTACCTGCAGAGATGCTAAGTTTGACAATGGGTTTTAAAGGTAGAAATTTATGAAAGGGAATATTGCCTCTATTTATTGGGTTTATTATCCTGCTACTTCTACATCTTGAATAAAATCAGATAATATAGTAAAAAAAAAAAACCATTATTCAACATATTTGTACACTAAACAGTAAGAATTTTTCCTGTGCTAATGGCATATTGATGCTTAGTACTTTTATTTCATTTTTTGTCTATATTATGTTCTCAAGTCTACGTGGTGCATTTTGACATAGCAGACTGCTAACACATTCCAATCTTTTTAACGTTGCAGTCCACTCATGTTGCCCGAGCCAGCTTCCAGGTTGATGCATTTGGGTCATCATTCATTCTAGATGTAATGCTAAACCAGTAAGTACTGACTGTCTTTTATTCTGTATTTGTAAAATGCCTAGCACAATGGGATGCCTATTTTGGTTGAGGTCCCCATGTACTATGGTAATACCAATAATAAATAATATTTGTATGTATCTAGTGGATTTGAAATAGTATTTGTTTTTTCTTGTTTTGTCAAATATCTCTGTATATTTTGGCATATTTTCAAATATTGCTACTTACTAAGAACCTTATTGTAAGATGTTTTGTAAGATGTATTATTATTTAGTCTGCAATTCTGCAATTGATAGTGTGCAGGCAAATTGCTGTGCCCCATTGGACAAGGAGCTACTGAAAATTGGTAACTATTTGCTTTTAAACCCTGAACATATTATGTTAGAGGTCCACTAATAACACTTACAGCTAGTTGTCGAAAGCCTAAGGTGAATGATGCAAGTGACGTTTCTTCAGATAAGTTCCTTATCTTTTGAGAAAAGAGAAGCGTTATAAAACATTAGCATAGTGAATTTCAGACTAAAGAAAGTGATTGAACAATAGCGAACTTATAAGTGAAACCTGATACTTAATTCTGATGCAACAGATTTCTTTTGGAAAATTCTCATCTGACAAAATTGAAACATTTCAGGTGAACGTATCAATATGGTAGATATTTGACAAAAATTATTGATATATTTAAATTTGATAAGGTTGAAGCACTTCGTTTAGACTTTATGTTCTATCATAAGAGTAAGGGTTTGCAGAAAGTTTACATTGTTTAAAAGCATTATACAATGCATGAAGATCACCCTTCTACAGAAAAGGAGTAGCATATAGTGTGTGTGTATGTGTGTGCATATGTATGTACATATATAGGTGTACATGTACAGATAACATAACTTCTATAACAGGGCGAAATCTTGGCTCCATTGAAGCCAATGGCAAAATTCCCATTGACTTCAGTAGGTTCAGGATTTCAGCTGTAGAGTTAGCCTGAGGTTTGTCTAATAAGAACAAATCAAATATTAATAGTATTTGGAAAGACAAGCAAAGAACGTTATTTTACTATGAACTTCTTCAGTAGCTTTTTCTATGAAAGTTATGTTTTTACTCTTCATGGAAATATGCTGTACATTTAAATATTTAAACTATTTAAAATTAAGCTTATTTTAGGATAGGGTCCATTTTTTCCCCCTAAAGGGGTCAGATTGTGCTACCCTTTTTTCCTTAAAGGACATTCAATGACCATTGGAATTGGCCTAATGTGAGTAACGCTGTACAATCCAGCCCTAAGAGATGAACTGCAATGTTTTTCAAAATCTAAAAATCTGTTCTCTCTCAAACCGGTAATATAATGTAAACTAAATTCTGTCCCCAGTTTTCCCCATGTAGTGATGAAAATGAAAGGTGCTATTTGGCCTGTAATATGACATTTTATGCAAGGTTTCAAAAGGGCGTCTGAAATTGCATTTGCTCATGCACAAATCTTATCAAATAAAAGGAAGGACCAAGGATGCCAGAACAATGTGGGAAATGTATTTTTAATGTATGTCCCCAGGAACAGATGTTATATTCAAAATGATATATATTTTGTCTTTACTATAATTAGAGTGAGTTCTTGCTTTTATTTCCAAACTTGTATATTACATTTCTATGGCAGCATCAGACCTTTATTTATGAAAAATAAAAACTTTTTTGAGGGGTTTGGGAGAGGAATGTCAATTTTGTGGATGTACAAACAGAAGTGTATGCCAAATTTGTGGATGGAGTTTTGGAAACCAGTTTGGAAACTTGGCCCTTTATAACAATATATTTGAAAATCAGTTAATCACTTGCCTGCCAAGACCAACGTTAGAGATTCTGTTTCCTCTGCAAATATTGATGTTAGCACTAATACCTAAAACTGTGCTGAAGCAGGCATGTGTTGGTGGCATCATCAGCTCTTGCTGGCGCTTGTATTTTGGGGAGTGTCAAGGAGATGATTTTGTCTCCTCCAAGCCCCCACAAACTTTTGGAGTTACATTAATTTAAATTGGTAAGTGGTAGGAAGAGGGCAATTTCTGAAGCATCTTTCAGTCTCCTCTGTTCCAGAAAACCTGGATCTTATCTGCCTTTGCTCGGATGCCTTGATGTTGGGAGCAGTATAAAAAAACCCGGGTAGGTCTGTGTGTCACAACCATCATTTGAAAATTGTTTCAGTAGACAATTCTCCAGTTAAGCTAGAGGTCTTAGGGCTACTTCTCCATTGTTACTCAAGGGTTTAGTATGTATTCTGGTGATTTTGGAGTAATAGTCTATTTTCTTCTCTAGTTAATTAACTATACATAATGTGTAGTAGCCAGTAGTAGAAATATGTATTCGCAATTGTGATTCCATTCTATTCCCCAACAGAGATAAGAGGTCATCGGGGAAATAAAATAAAGGAACATAAATTGATTCAATAAAATTCACTAGCTTAACAGTCTGGGCTATTTCTTGCATTTGTTCTCTTCTCTCATTTTTCATCCCCTGCTTTTTCTTTCTGTCTCTCTCCAGATTCATTGTATACATCTTCACATCATTTTCTCATTTCTCATTACTGTTTTCTCTGTTTTTTCATTACTATCTTTCCTTTCTCCCTTGTTTGTCTGTCTCCTTATTTGAAAATCACCATTCCCTTTTCTCTGTTTTGTCTGTTTATATTTGCATTCCTTCTCATTCATGCCCTGATACCCTCCCTCCTATTATGTTGTGTCTTCCCCTTGCTCTCATCTGTATTCCATTTTCTCTTCACATTCCAGCATCTTTATCTCTCCCCCTCAATCTTTTGAAGGCTCCCATATTTCTGTCTCTCCCTTCCCCCCATGACAGTCCTGTCTCTTCCTCCCCACCCCAAATGTTTACACACTAAATATCCCCTCCCCTTCTGGCTTCTGCATATGATGCTTCCTGGCAACCTCTCCTCTCACAAGTGTTCACCAACGGAGGGTCTAATGCTGCCAAGAATTTGAAGTTTATTCCCCCCCCCACACCTTTCCCCTTATCCTCTGCATTGCCTCCTCACCCCTCCCAGAGTGGCTGCCACTGTTGAATCTGGGAGTAAGAGGAAGCAGGGCCTCCTGTTCCTTGGCCTCCCCACCACATCATTTGTCAGCAACTACAGGCCAAGCTGGCTCCTCTGCTTAGCTGCCCCCCACCCCCACCCCTTGTAGCTGGAGGCCATTTTCATAGCTCAGAAGAAGAACTGGATTAGCTGTGAACAGCTGAGAAGGAGTTTGTGGAATCCTTTCACCACTAGTGAAAAACTCCCCAAAAGTAGAGTTCAGTTTGGGCTCCTTCCCCTCCATCAAAAAATAGGAACTGATGGTCATGGGCTTCAAAAGCCCCAAAGCCCAGCCTTGGTTGGCTCTAGTGTGGCGCATGAGTAATCACTGGTTTTTAGAAAAAATTACTCAATCAGCTGTCAACCATGGAGCTTTCTTTATATTTTGAAGGTGATCTCTGCAACAGAAAGGGCTAGAAACAGACATTTAAAAATACAGACAAAAACAGATGGGCACTGACATGTGAAGGGTTGCTAAAAATTGAGGACCCTGAATGTGTGTGTGTGTTGGCCAGTCTTTTAAACAGGAAAGTGAAAGAGGAAATAATTTTGCAATGTTTCGTTATAACATTTTGATTTACTTCAGAATTTAAATCTGTGTGCATATGGTGTTTATTGTGAATCTGCAGCAGTTTTAAAATGCATTTTTGTTCATATGCAAAAAATGTGCCTTCCTACATGAAATAAACTCAATGTTATGAATAGAGGGTTTGGGGCTGAAAATCAGAAGTTTGATGTAGGTTCCTGTGCAGTCAATGTTTTTTCCACTGTATACTTTTTTTTTTAGTTGCAATAATATCTTTACAGTAAGCTTTAATAAAATACTGTGTCTGTTTCAAGTTTGTCTGTTTAACTGGCTAAAGCATTTATGAAGAAGTTTTCGGGCTAAACTAGCTGTATTTTTAAAAGGTTCAATCCCTCAGGCAAGAGTCAGAAATGTATTAGTGGCATCAGTGTTTTATGATACCGTTGCCTCCTATGCATTCATTCCATGCTCGTCGTCATTATTGTTTTTTTCAGTGTTATCAAATCAAATCTCAGAATTCACTATTAGCTGTGGTATCACAGTGCTGCTCTAGGCTTCCCTACTTCAGAGCACATCTAAATCTGGCGATCAACCCAGAATCATGTGTGAGATGCATAACAATTAAGTATGCTTGTTTTTTGATTCCTTTTCCTTCAAGTTTGTGAAGCTTGGTTGGCATCTAGCGAAATGGGTATTTCTTAATTTATGCCTAATATTTCTGTTAAAATAGTTAATGTGACCATTTATACTTTCAAGTTGGTTTGTAATATCATTAAGTAAGAAATTGTATAGGAAAATCAACATATTTGAGTCTGAAGCATTTCTAGTCTTGTGAAGCAGGATATCATGTGCTATGGGGGGCAGCCATCCCAACCTTGGTTTGCTCCCCACCCTCCCAACTTTTGGGCATCTGCCTAAAGTGTCAGATTTGGCCCAACCCAATCTGCCATGCTAGGCCTTTTAGAAAGGGGGTGGCAAATTGTCTTGAGTAGCTTCTGGCACTATCCCTGCTCTCTGTGCTGCTGGTCAGGAAGCAGCAGCAGTGGCCTGGGTTGGAGCTGAATGTGGAGTGACCCCTGCCCTAGGCTGGCCATTGGTGAGATGCCCGCCGCCCAAACCCCACCCACCTGCCTCCCCCCCTCTGTGATGGGACTGGCCCACCAACCAACCACAAGCAGCCACAGCCTCAGCAAGAGGCATAAGTGGGGGTTACTGACACAACTTTGCCGCCCCCCTTCCAGAATTTTTCTGAAATGACCTGTTGCTGTGAAGCACATACATCTGCCTTTATGAGAACTGGGCCACAGTGTATCTATCTGTTTATGGGGAGCTAATCTATCACAGAATGGATTAAAAAAAAGCTCATTAACTGGGTGGGGAGAGGGCAGCTATAAGATTGTTCTACAGAACAGTAAATAGGATTATATATAG